CCTAATCTAGAGAAACAAGTAAGGTCTCCAATCCACAAGAACAATGCCTAGAGAATAGTTGCAAAAATATTTAGAGTCAGACACCCAAAGATAGGCATGGGAGTGGACGAAGGACCAAACCTCTTCCCAAGAGCTCTCATTTTCCTAAAGATTCTATAGTTTCTCTTAGGTTAGATACACCCAATAAAAAAAACTTTATCCCTAAAAGGAGAACGAAGAGCACCTTCTCCGTCATAAGACAATAATCCCAGTTATGGGCCAAAAGACTAAGAGTTAAGACTGAAGAAAGAACCAGTTTAGGTTACTAGAAACAAAAATCCCTACTACCTGGCCGCAAATGAATGTCACCCAACAAAGAGATTAATGCGGAACCATTTAAGGTCTCCCTAGTCAATAAGGGTGATGAAAGCCAAAGTTGAACGAAAAGGAACCATTGAGAAGAAAATGATGTTAGAATCAAACACCAGGTGCAACCTCAAAGAGAAAAAGTGGTAAAGGCGGGGGAACATAAGACAAAGGGGACTATCACCAACTGACAATTCTCCCAAAATAAGTGTTTGAACCATCCCCAACTAGACATTTCACGAATTAAGTAAAGAGGGGAAATCTAAAGAGATCACTTTCCAAGGGTTTCTGACCGTCTCTTTAGACCCACATTGGAGACTCATTTTAAAGGATGAGGACCATACTTACCCACAATAATCTATGCCGTAAAGAGTTCAGCTCGAGAGGAAACCGCCATTCTCACTATGAAATCTCAAATTACTTATGCTCAACCACCTCGACACAGTCTCTTGCCTATATAAATGAGCACCCCTCCCTCATCTATACCTTCAAAAGCCTCATAATCTTCTCTTCTCTTGACTCTTACTCATAGATTTTAAAGATCATAAACAAAGAAAAAGTAGATTGAAATCCCATGAAGAAGTGACTGAATAAAGGAAATTTCATTTGCTTGAAGCCATGATGCTAAAAGACTTTTGTGTATTGATCTCGTCACTTTCGTCTATGAAGTCTTAGCCAAAGTTTTAGTAGAAAGATTGAAGGATGGGATCTCTTCTACCATTTCTCCTGGTCAAAATTTACTTATCAAGGAAGATAGATCATAGACCTAGTCCTAGTGACCAATGAAGCTATGAAAGACTATAAATTAAGATAGAAAAAGAGTGGATCTCCAAACTTGACCTTGAAAAGGCATATGATAGTTTGGATTAGGAACTTAGAGAGGAACTTACAAAGGAAAAGGGTTTGAAATGCTAGAGTTTACTACATTGACCAACCACATTGCAGATGTCTTAGGTTTCAGTAGTAGGAAGACAAAGTTGGTGGAATTTAAGTTTGAGGTAGTGGCAACTACTAGTAGGGTCACGAGTACCATACCACTTTGTATTTGAGATGAGCTTGAAAAAGAAATCATACCTTATTTGATCATGTGATGTCAAACGAGGAAGAAAAGAATGCTGATCATTAGAGAGAAGGAAAAACGACCGCCTTTAAAAAAATATCTTCAAATACCTCGCTCATGAGGTAGCTGTCTGTCAACCTAAGAAGCACATACACTTCATTTTGGGTAACGTGGCCGACACTTATCAGGAATGTATCAAACACTTGTTAGCTTAATAGATGTGTGTCAATGCTAGATTTTGGAATTAGTTGTCTAAAGAACAATCTAGATGTTCCTCTCCAAAGAACAATATTTGTGTGAAAATTAACTAGAAGAAAATAACGTTTTAAAAAACCAGTTAACAAAATATGTTTTCATTGATTCGAGAGGAATCAAAGAGTGTTTCAGACAGTGAAATGTCTTCAAGGGTTTCTGGATCTAGTCCATTTCTTGGCTTATTAATGGTGCCATCTTTCTAAAGATTTTTGTAATTACAGTTTTGTGAAAATTTCTGCCAAATGGAGCACTTCTTTGTAACCATTGGCTGTTAGGGGTTTCTTACCCTCTTTCGTAACAGGTGTTTTGATAATGAAATCTACCCCAGTTTCTTATTAAAAAAAATGTTTTCATTGATTTAAATATACAAAGCTTTTTAGAAGTTTTTTTTTTTGATAAAAAAGCCAGCTTTCATTGATTAAAACAGATAGTTTTTTAAAAGATTCGCAACCTTGTAAAAAATTAATAGTACTTGACCTGTTAATTTTTTTTTAAAAATAAAATTTAAGTTAAGACAATTACAGGAAAAAAAAAATACTTCAGTGTGTTAAAAGACTAGTCTTCTAAAATTTCTTGAAGAGTTATTGACCTTGAGACTTATTATTTCTGATACTAGAAGTTGCTATTACAAGGTAGTTGTCCTTGAATCAATAGTCTTGTTTCAAGTAGCACACGACATTGAAGCGCGCTAGCAAGAAAGCCCACAACTTCCTGTTCTGTTTACAGACTCGAGCTCTTGAATTCTTTTAATTTATTCGTGTGTGCATTTTTGTTAGATGATTCAATCTTGAGCCTTTTTGTTTGTCATATTCGAGTTGTTAATTTACTTTTTCATTTAGGGTGATGTAGAATCCATTGCATCCAAAAATCCCAAAGAACTGACAGGACTTCTTGAGCAGATCTCTGGATCTGATGATCTTAAGAGAGAATATGAAGAGTATGAAGAACAGAAAGCCAAGGCTGAAGAAAATTCAGCACTTGTATATCAGAAGAAAAAGACTATTGTCATGGAAAGAAAGCAGAAGAAAGAGCAAAAGGAAGAAGCAGAAAAACACCTCCGTTTGCAAGACCAACTGGTATGCAACATGAGGTTTCTTATTTAGTCTATACGTTTAGTGTGCTAAAATCATTCATATATTGACCATATGTCAAGTATACAGATACTTGATGTCTGTCCAGCCAAACATTTTCCTCCTTGCACTGAACTAAATCTAAAAAAAGTAACTTGCTTGTTCTCTTGTATAATACTTTTTTAAAAAGTTTTAGGAGTTTGTGGGACTTTTCTTTAAATAATTAAAAATTTTAATTTTTTTTCTTCTTTTCTTTTTTCCCTCTGCAGAGATCTTTGAAGAAAGAGCACTTCTTGTGGCAATTATTTGCTATAGAAAAGGACATTGTAAAACTTAATGAGGACCTTGTAGCTGAAACGAGAAGTCGTGAGGCTGTCATGCAACAAAATGATGATTTTGAACATGAATGTTCGAAAAAGAGGAAAGAACAAGCTAAATATTTGAGGGAAATCGGTAACTGTGAGAAGAGAATTGCAGAGCGAAGTAATAGGCTTGATAGGAATGTAAGTATGTCGGTTCCCTTTTGTTGAAGTCATTTCAAAACATTTGAAAAAGGATCATCTCAAACATGCTGAGTTCGATACTTAGAGTTTTGCTTCCAAGGAATTGGTGTGTATGACAGCATACATTGTATTTCTGTTTTTTTTTAATACTTGGGAGTGAGCTACTCGGGGCAATTGTGCGTGCCCCAAAGCCTGGATATGGGAGACATCGAGAGTTTTTATTTTTTATTTTTTATTAAGCTCACTCAAAGGTTTGAACTTGAGTCCTCTTAGCTGGTATGATCAAGAGATCCCAAACCCTTGTCAACGTAGCTGCCCCTTGAGGTCACCAAATTGTATTTTTGTTGCAGTTGTGGATCACTTTATTGCTTAATATTGTTAAGAATTAATTCTTATGAGGGTCTGAGATCATTAATTTTATAGATAACATGTATGCTAGGAGCTGATACTAAAGAGATTCCCTATATCTCCCGAGGATTAATCGCACTATTGCAGCATACCTAGGTAAAAGAGCATATTCAACAAACAATTTTTTCCTTTCTAATTTTTTCACCACAATATGCAGCAACCTGAGCTTCTGAAATTGAAAGAAGAAACTTCTCGAATAAATTCAAAAATCAAGAGAAGTCGAAAAGATCTTGATAAGAAAATAGAACAAAGGAGAAAACATGCTCAATATATTAAGGAGTTACAAAAGGGCATACAAGATCTCAATGCACAGCTTGATGATTTACATGAGAAAGGTCGAGACAGTGGTGAAAAACTAAAGTTAGATGACCAAGAGCTGAGGGAATATTGTCGAATGTAAGTCTTTATTTATTTATCTTTTTAGAAAATGCTTCTATGATGCTCCTATTTCCTTACATTAAAGACTCTCATTATTTACTAGATTTTGGCCTTCACTTGAGAATATCCATTAAAAGTTGTACTTGTAGAGATTTACTTGATGTCATTGATTGTAGTTTCGGATGGATGGAATGTGAGGTCTTATATTTCCTTGTGAAAAGATTTATCTGGATGCAATGCTTTTGATAAGATCGTGTTATTCATTAAACCAATAATGAAGTTCATAGCTATGTTTTACATTTGAAGAAGAGCTTGATCAGGTTGAAATTTAAGCCTAAAGTTCTTGAATGCTTATGCTTGATGGTGAAGTTGAACATGATTTGGTCTCTCAAGTTATAAAAAAATTGGCATGTTAAACGAACATCCTTGAATTGCCCATAAACTGTTAATGAGTCTCACAAACCAAAACATCATGGGAGACACTTGTTGTTAACAAAAGGGGACGATTAGCTTTGGCTCAGGCGGGATTGAATAGTATTCCCATATACTTCTTCTCAATCCTCAAAGCTCCTAGAGCGGCGGCCTCTTCAATGGAGAAGCTAATGCAGGACTTTATTTGGAATGGAGGGAGACAGAGACCGATTGGAAGCCTAGTGAAGTGGCCTTGGTCAGCTTTGCCTCAAAATCAGGGCGGTCTTGGTGTGGGCTCTCTTAATCTAAGGAATAAAGCTCTCCTCATGAAATGGATATGGCGTTTTGCAAATGAAAAGACAAGCTTATGGAGAAGGGTGATAACTTTCATCTATGGGAAGACTCTTTCGGGTGGATGTCGACCCCTGCAAAAGGCTCTCTTATAGGCAGATTGTGGAGATAGACATTCAAGACACTTCCTCGGCTTTTTCCAAGCTTTCCTATTTTAGAGTATCCTTGGGGGCGACAATGAGATTCTGGGAAGATAGTTGGGCTAATATGTCTCCTCTATCCATCACCTTTCCTGATCTGTATGTCCTCTCATCCAAAAAACATCAATCAGTGTCAGCTTGCTGGGTTTCCAAGGCATTAGCTTGGGACATAGGTTTGAGAAGGAATCTTTTTCACAGGGAGCTTGATAGATAGGCAGCCTTTACCGAAAAGCTTGAGGGCGCGGTTCTTGGTTAAGGCAGAGATATTTTATGGTGGCAGGCTGACAGCAAGGGTATATTTTTAGTGAATTCGGCCTTCCTAGCTTTGACGTCTCCTTCCCTAAACTTAACACGACTATTGCTTCTATAATCTGGAATTTCAAGGTCCCCAAAAAGGTTAAATTCTTCCTTTGGACTCTTTTTTATAGGGGAACAAATACGGCCGACAAAATTTAAAGAAAGCTCCTACATTGTGCTCTCTCTCCTTCCATATGTATCTTCTGCTTTGTAGAGACTAAGGTTGGATTATCCAACGTGATGTATTCTCATTATTAAAGTCTATATATATAGACAAATATACAAGGTTGACCTAATCTTATAAGGAGAAGGTAAAGGACAAATTAATATTAATACAAGAATATAAAATATACTAATATCTATACTCTAACACTCCCCCTCAAGTTGGTGCATATATATTAATCATGCCCAACTTGTTAGACAAACAATCTATTCGTGCTCCATTCAATTCTTTAGTAAAGATATCTCTTAGCTGCTCTCCAGTCTTCACATACCCTGTAGCCACCAATCCTTGCTGTATTTTCTCTCGTACATAATGACAATCAACTTCAATGTGTTTGGTTCGTTCATGACATACTGGATTAGATGCAATATGAAGAGCGGCTTGATTATCACACCAAAGTTTCATTGGAGTGGTGATGCCAAATCCCAATTCAGTCAGAAGCTGATGTATCCATACTAATTCACACACCGACTGTGCCATAGCTTATATTCTGATTCAGCACTCGAATGCGATACCACATTTTGTTTCTTACTTTTCCAAGAAACTAAATTACCTCCGACAAATACACAATATCTTGAGGTTGATCTTCTATCTTCCTTAAAAGTTGCCCAATCAGCATTTGAAAAACATTCAATATTAAGATGACCATGATCTTTACATAACAAACCACGTCCAGGAGCACCTTTCAAATAACATAGAATATGTTCCAATGCGATCCAATGGTCAGTCGTAGGAGAACTCATAAACTGACTCATAATACTGACTGGATAAGCTATGTCTGGCCTCGTAACCGTAAGATAATTCAGCTTTCCTACTAATCTCCTATACTTTTCAGGGTCTTTCAACAACTCTCCTTCCTTTGTTAGTTGTAAATTAGGTATCATTGGGGTACTACGCAGCTTAGCAGCTAACTTTCCTGTTTCAGTTAATAGGTCAAGTACATATTTCCTCTGTGATAAGAGAATCCCCTTCTTGCTCCTTATTACCTCAATTCCTAAGAAATATTTCAGCACTCCCAAATCCTTCGTATGAAATTGACTATGAAGGAAAATTTTGAGTGATAGGATACCTGATGAATCATTATCAGTAATCACAATATCATCAACATATACAACCAGTAAGATAACACCAGACTCAGTTTGTTTATAGAAGACATAATGGTCCGACTTACTCTTCTTCATTCCAAAGTTCTCAACCACCCGATTGAATTTTCCAAACCATGCTCGTGGACTTTGTTTCAACCCATATAAGGATTTACGAAGACGACATACGTTTCCAATCTCCCCCTGAGCAACAAAACCTGGTGGTTGCTCCATATACACTTCCTCTTGAAGATCACCATGGAGGAAGGTATTTTTAATATCAAGCTGATGTAACGGCCAATGGTGACTAGATGCCAAGGAAATGAATAACCTAACAGAAGTCAATTTAGCAACCGGAGAAAAAGTATCACTATAATCAATTCTATAAGTCTGCGCATATCCTTTAGCAACAAGGCGAGCTTTCAAACGGGCAATGGATCCATCAGGATGGACTTTAACAGCAAACACCCATTTACAACTGATAGGTTTCTTTCCTGCAGGAAGAGACACTAAATCCCAAGTACCATTGTCATCTAAGGCAGTCATTTCCTCCAACATAGCGGCCCACCAACCAGGATGAGACAAAGCTTCATGAACAGTTTTAGGAACAGATACAGACTCAAGGGATGCAAGAAACGAACAAGTAGGTGAGGACAAATGGTTATATGAGACAAAAGAAAAAATGAAATAAGTACATTTACGCTTACCTTTTCTAAGAGCAATTGGAAGGTCATCACTTGTTCCTGGATCCTCGGACGAAGAAGCTGCTAGTATAGGGCATGAGTCCGTAGGAGGTTGCCGACGAGAATAAACTTGAATAATGGTGGGAAGAGAAAGATCAGGCACATAGGAAGATGTATTGCTAGGAAGCTCTTAAGTAGAAGGAGAGACAATGAAATATACAAGAAAGTCATCATCTTCTCGTGAACTCTCCCCCTGACTGGTACTCAAAGATGATGAAAAAGGAGTATCTTCAAAGAATGTAACGTCGGGAGAGACAAGATATCTATTGAGATCAGGACAATAACATCGATACCCTTTTTGAACATGAGAA